TAATGTAATCATAGAATTGAATCCTATATAACTTTATTAACCAACTAGAGGCCCGGTGCATGAAATTCATGCACAAGCGGTGGAGGTGTGAGGAGTCCCTCAGCCCAGTCTGCACTCTTGCAATCTGAGACCCCTGGGGAGGTACTGGGGTCTAAATCAGCAGTCAGACATCCCCCTCACAATCTGGGACAGTGCATGTACCAATAACCATACTTTTCATGCAGATGTAAGGCATCTTGTTGTTGTATGGGCAGTTACATTTTTTTTTCTTTGCCCTAATTATAAAAACTAATGCATAACATGATTCTTCTGAGGCAGTAGTACCATTTCCCCCATCTTATGGGTGGAAAAGCTGAAGCAGAGAGAAGTAATTGGCTTTGTCACACAGTTATAAGTGTCAGAATTAGGGCTGACCACAAAATATGCAAGCCAGAGTCCATGTATGTCATTCCTGCAAGATCCTGTTTTTTCAGTCTTAGAGTACCTTGGCCAGGTTTTAATTTTTAAATCTAAGAGACTCTTCCCAATATATAGGGTAAGGTCCCTAGGCTTGGCCAGTGATCAGAGACATCTGTGGGGCAACTTGTGGGTGGGGCGATTGGGGGGCCGCCACTGGCATTCACCTTGCTGGTGGCTTGGTGCTGCCCCTTGGCAATTACCATTGCCAGTCTGCCCCCTGGTGGTCAGAATGCATCATAGTGACCAGTCATTCTGCTGGCTGATCCTTCTGCATTTGGTTGATTTGCATATTAAGGTTTTATTATATAGGATGTCACCCCAATAAATGTATTTAAAAACTAAAAAATAATAATAAATTAAATTATCGATTTGTCAAATGATATATTTTTCAGTAAGAAAAATATGCTGGGTTCTAGAATTGTCAATTCTATGAAAATCTCAGAGATGGTCTATTATGATCCTGTCATTTTGCAAACAAGGAAACTGAAACTCTAAAATGATATGAAAAATGTTAGGTGAATAGTATCAAAGTCTATAGAACTTAAATAATGTATACAAATATGATGACTTGCATTTGAGATTTCCTGACTTATTTCTCCTCTACCACTTGGATGTAGTGTTCTCTTTCATCTATCTCTGGTCTACTCAATTTTGAATTTACTCCCAGTGGTGCTTGATTTGTTTTTTCATTGTTTTTTGTTTTTGTTTTTGTTTTGTTTTGTTTTTGTATTGGTTTTGAACATGGGCTGCTGTACTGAAGAGGAATCTTGGTGAATTCATTTTGAGAGTTCACTGTATCTGGACTGCTCCAGTCCCACCAACTCCCATAGAACACTTGGGCCCACTCATTCTCAAAGTGGGTAAAATCCCTCCCAATTTTAGCTGCCATTTTCAAACTGTCTAACTGATTTTCTAGTGAATGTATGCCTGTTGGCTCTATTGTGATTCTTCTGCTTTCTCTTTTGTAGACATAAATAGCACACAGGTCTTGAGGCTGTTGCCAGTTTGTCTCCTGTAGCTTGTAGGTTTTGTACGTTTCAATGCTTATTGACTTTGCTTACTAGGTACTCTGAGTGTTTTGATATGAGGACTTTGAAAAATCCAAAAGCTATTATAACACCACCACTACCATCACTCCAGAATTATCCCTCATTTTTTTTTATTTTTAAGAGCTTTATTGATTTATAATGTACAATTTATATTCCACTAAGTTAATCCATATAAAATTTAAAATGTAATGGTTTTAGTACATTTATGAAGTTGTGTATCAATCACCATAAAAATTAGAACATTTTTTCAACCCTTAAAGAAACCCATACTCAATAACAGTCATTCTTTAAATCCATACTTTTTCAGCCCTAAGTAACCACTAATCTACTTTCTATCTCTATACATCTGCTATTCTGTACATTACATATAAATGTTATCATATAATAGCAGTCGTTTGTGATTGGCAGGAAGTGACAGAGAAATTAAGATTGCCATTTTAACTTTCATTTCAAATGGGAAACAGCAATGATTTATTGATGAAATATTATCAGACAAATTATTTATATAAGATATAAGTTGATTTGCTAATACAGGGAATAGAGCACTATTTGAAAGCATGACATAATAAATAATAATGATGATTATTACAGCAATCCTATGTAATACAAGGCTAATATTATGCAAATTGTTCCCTTTACTGGGTGTTCAGCTGGGAGTTTGACCACTGGGTGGGGCTGGCTGGCCAACTGCCAGTGGCCCTGATAGTGGCAGGTTGGCCAGACCCCATCCATGCATCGAGCCTCTAGAAAAGTATATAAATTTTACTAAATGCAAGACTATTCTAAGTGCTTCATTTATATTATCATATTTCATACTCAAAGCAATCTATGATGGAAGTTTCATTACTACTATCCCCATTTTATTGATAACAAAACTAAGGCAAAGTGAAAAAACACATGCTCAAACACACCCAAGGTAGACAGTAGAAGAACTAGATCCCACACTCGGAGAGTTTGATTCAAGACTCCTTGTTCTTAATTACCATTCTATAGTGCTTCTCTGATTTTAGGGTGTTTTATCAACTATTATTTTCTTCTTCTAAATTGTAATAGAAAAGCACAACTTAGGGTAACATATTCTAAACTTTTTCTCATTATCCATACTTCATAGCACTGACAGTTTATTGCTATATGAAGTGGACATAGAGGAGATACATTTGATGACAAAATAATATTAAATTAAAATTTAAAAAATAATTATATGTGTGATGATTAATTATTAAAAACAAACTAATATAGATCATTGTTTTTTAGTTCCATGCTTAGTTTGGTAAACTTTTACATAATGCTTTTTTTCTTTCTATTTTGATTCATATATAATTTGAAAAACCTCATTATTTGTATCAAGCTGGTCTATTAAAGACAATTAATTTTTCCTAAAATATATTTAATATACAATTGACTACATTCACATACAAGTGACCACAATTGCCTTTATCATTTATGACATAGAAAGAACTATAATAGTTTGTCACTAAATATATATTAAAGAATTACTCAGGCCAAAACCTGTTTGGCTCAGCGGTCAAGCATCGGTCTGTGGGCTGAAAGATCCTGGGTTCGATTCCAGTCAAGGGCATGTACCTTGGTTGCGGGCACATCCCCGGTATGGGATGTGCAAGAGGCAGCTGGTTGATGTTTCTCTCTCATAGACGTTCTAGCTGTCTATCTCTCTCCCTTCCTCTCTGTAAAAAATCAATAAAATATATTAAAAAAAAAAAAAAGAGCCGAAGCCGGTTTGGCTCAGTGGTAGAGCATCAGTCTGCGGACTGAAAGGTCCCAGGTTCGATTCTGGTCAAGGGCATGTACCTTGGTTGCGGGCATATCCTCGGTAGGGGGTGTGCAAGAGGCAGCTGGTTGATGTTTTTCTCCCATTGACATTTCTAGCTCTATCTCTCTACCTTCTCTCTGTAAAGTAAATATATATATTTACACACATATATAAAATTACTCAGTAAATTAAGCATTGGATTGAACTGAACAAAATCCTATCTAATAAAAGAGAAACTTGCAAATTGACCATACCTCTGCTATACCCACAAGCCACACCCATGAGCCAATCAGGAACTAGTATACAAATTAATCCAACCAATATGGCAGTTAATTTACATATCCAGGAGCAGAGTGAGTGAAGACTGAAGACAGCATAGAAGGAAGCCAAGTGCTGCAGAAGGGAATTTTTCGTTTTCCTTTGTCCTGAATCAAACTACCTAGGAATCATTCTGCTTCCCTTGAGAAGAAAGATATCTCTCTTGTTTAATAAAGCTTCTTTTTTTCTAAAATTTTCCAAAAATGCTTTGAAAAAAATGTTTAAGTTGCTAGAAACACATATAGATTGAGTGACAACTGTAATAGAAATTTACCATATTTCTAGGAAAGTTACTAAGGAGGAGCTGAAGTAGCACATTGTGACCTCTAAGATATCTTTGCATGATTATAATTCCTTTCTGTCAGCCAGCATCCTCTCCCAGACTCCTCTAAGCCAGACAACCCTGACTCCTATTTGACACAGATACAGGGAGCTCTGTGCTCCATATCATCTGGGCATGGATTCTGACTTTCTGTAACATGTTCCAAGAAACGTAATGGGGGAAATCGAACTATAGAACTGAATTCTAAGCAGAATTCTTTGGAGCAGCCCTGGTCATAAAAAGAGCAGATGGTTCAACATCACAAAAACCTAAAGTCATATTTTTTAACTGCCTCAGTGAAGTCATATTTTAATATGAAAGCAACAATATAATTAAATAGCATTCAAGTTTAGCTCTCAGTCCCAGGTCTTACCTCTAAGTTATACCATGTAGAAAATCACAGGAGACATATCTCTCATTAGCAGTGCATATCTCACACCACTACTTTGGAAAGCAGATGGAATAATTCCTCAGAAAGAGCTATGCCAATTGTGAAAATGTGCAAGTGTATTTATAATTATTTTATACATTTTCTAGGTACTTTTCTAAGAAAAATCTATGTAAAGTTAGACTTTACATTTAGAAGCATGATAAATAGCAGAGTTTTGTAAGTTGCTGTTCACTTGCTAGAGTGGCTTCTTAAATTCCTTAGGCATAGACTTCAACTCAAGTCCTGCTTGAATTGAACCTAGTTGAACTTATTTCTCATATGTTCACCAACTACTAGTTTTCTAATCAAGAAGATTCATCTTAAATTATTTAAAGTAGATAAATATTTATATAAGTATTAGGTCTACACTTTAAATTATGTTGAAAATAATTCAAAGGAGAACACTTCTGCATGTTAGAAAGGAAATGTGTGAAAGGAAAAAAAGACATTACTTGAGCAATTAACAAGTGAAGAAAATACAACCTCTTAACATGTAAGTGTAGGTTAAATAATTATAAAATCAAATTATAAATTTATTTTTATTTATGTACAGAACATATAGCAGAAGAACACTTTATAAATATGAAATATAAGACAAAAGGGCTAGATTATAAGTGTGCTTCCAAATGAAAATGCTTTCCAGAAACTTACCAGTCGTGCAGTTTTTAAATTCAATGTCATCAATTGCAGCTCCTCCTCCTAAATCCCTTGTTCTGATACCTTGGAATATAACTTCAAAATTTCTTAATTTTCCTAGCAGGATGACAGCCTTTTGCCACTGATCACCAGAAGTCTGCTTACTGTCTTGCCATACTTTTGATAGTCCTTTCTCTGTCTGAAAGTAAAATAGTTTACATAAGAGAAATAATTAAACACAATAGAAAAAGAACAAAAAAAATACCCTCCAGTCATTTCATCTGTGAAAACTCAATTTAAAAACATTGAAACTCTGATTATCTATCTATCTATTTATCTATCTATCTATCTATCTATCTATAAAAAAACTAAGTGATCAAATGAATGACTGGTCGACTGGTTGCTATGACGTGCACTGGCCCACCACACTCAATGTAGGAGCTGCCCCTTGGTGGTCACTGTGCCCCCACAGCCACTTCCTATAGCTGGCCATTGTCCCACAGCCCCTCCCTCCTGGCCGGTCCTTATTGCCAGCCAGGCCAAGGGATCCTACCAGGCCTCTGGTGATATAGATATTACTGTATTTTTCCGTGTACAAAATGTTATTTTTTTTTTTCTAAACTCATTAGACTGAAAATTGAGGGGCATTATTATAGATTGAAGTCAGCTGAAGAAGGAGCCTTGTCAAACAGGCTTCACCAATCATGAGCCTTATTATTACTGATGTCAGCTGATGCTGTAATTCTAGCATGTCAAACTCATGGCCAACAGGCAGCATGCCTCATTTATTTGGCCTATGTTAGCCTTTGAGTTTGACACGCTTGCTGTAATTGGAGGTGGAGGTGGAGAGTGCAGAGATGCAACAGGGACCAGAACATTCTGAGCCCAAAAAGATGTCAAAAAATATAAAAGAAAAGTAGTGGTAAGTGATTGTCTTACTCTGAAAAATTCAAACTGATTGTTATCAGCTTGTAAAAGAGCAAGGAAAGCGAGCTGCAGGGAGACAAGTTGGATGTCCTCCCACTGAATGTATGCTCAGACAGTGGAGAAGACAAAAGGAATTCCCTAAGATGCCAAAAAAGAAGAAGGCCTTTAGAGGACAACCAGCAAAATGTTTAAAATATTTATTTCTTAATTTGGGGTTGGAAAAGTGGGGGGCATCTTAAACATGGGAAAATATGACACATCATCAAAACAGACATATTAATCTACTGCAGTGTTTCCTAAAAGCAATACTAGCAGAAGTCACAATAACTTTGTTTTGGTATTTTCAGAGACGCCATTATTAAAAAACTAGAGGCCAAATTTAATTCATGCAAGAGTAGGCCTTCCTTCCCCCAGCTGCTGGCACTGGCTTCCCTCTGGCACCTGGGATCCAGGCTTCCCTCAAAACCCTGGCTTCATCCAGAAGGTTGTCTGGAAGGATGTCTGGTCTAACTAGCATATTATACTTTTATTATTATAGACTAGAGGCCAGGTGCACAAAATTATTTCACAGGGTTGCGGGGGGGAGGCATTCCCTCAGCCAGCCTGCACCCTCCTCAATCTGGGACCTCTCTGAAGATGTCTGACTGCCAGTTTAGGCTTGATCCTAAACCAAAAGTCGGACATTCCTCTCACAATCCAGGACCACTGGCTCCTAACTGCTCACCTACCTGGCTGCCTGATTGTCCTTAGCTGCCTCACCTGCTGGCCTGGTCACCCCCAACTACCCCCCCCCCCAGCAGCCTGATTGCCCCTCACTGCACTCCCACCAGTAGCTCCTGGGGGCCTGGTAGCCCCACACAGCCTGCTGCTCAGTCATTTGGTTGCCCCTCACTGCCCCCACCTGCCAGCCTGGTCACTGCTAAATCCCCCCCTCCTCCCCCCCTTGTGGGCCTTTTTGCTCCAGTGCAGCCTGCTGCTCAGTTGTTTGGTCATCCCTCACTAACCTACCTGCCAGCCCGGTCACCCCACACAGCCTGTTCAGTTGTCCGTTTGGTTGTTTCAGATGTGATAGTCATCTATCTATCTATCTATCTATCTATCTATCTATCTATCTATCTATCCATCCATCTGGCCAGCAGGGTTCAATGGTGGAGCATAAACCAAAGAACCAGGAGTTCATGGTTTGTTTTCTGGTTGGGCCACATGCTTGGGTTTCAGCCTTGATCCCCAGTGTGGGGCATGCATGAGGCAGCCAATCAATGATTCTCTCTCATCATTGATGCTTCTATCTTTCTTTCCCTTGATCTTCCTTTCTGAATCAATAAAAACACATTTTAAAAATATATCCTACTCAATTCAATCCACCTCTCCTTTCATGTATACAAAAATTTGTTTATATCTTATGGAATCTGAACAGTTTATAGAAATCTGGGACTTATAGCTCTGGCAATTCCTTCAAACTTCTATTCATATTTTTAATTATTAAGACTGCACTTTCCTTTAAAGAGCTGAAGTAACTTAGAGAAGGAAAGGAAAAAAGAAATGAAAGGAGGACTATAGGTAAAATCATTTATCCTTGATGGATATGATAAAGGAACTGTGGAGTATATTGAGTATGGGTGAAAAGTGACAATTCCTAAATTCTGTCAGATTTCAAAAACCCTATTATTCTATTATTTTGATTACTTAAAATTCTATTATGATATTATTATTATATGAGCACTAACTATAACTATTTCTATACCAAATTCTTTATTTATAAAGAAATTAATTTCTAAGAGACTTATATAAATATCTCCTCTAAATGTCTAAGATTGGTCTACTAGTAGTATAATATTATGATATCTGAATAATCCTAATGTAGTACATATAACATGACATGACGTATAACATAAACCTAATGATAAAAAATGATGCCTACAGTAAAACAAAATATAAACTAGTTAAGCTCAAGGACAAGTCTTTGTCTACAATTTTCTTTGATAATTTTGAGCTTAGACTATTTCTGGGAATTAGATGTTTAATAAAGCATGATAATAAATACAAGAAAGATAACTATATGCATACATACATATATTACATTTTGTTTATGGTTAGCCTCAAGTAATTAATATCTCAGGCTCCAGTACTGTGTTCTTATGATGAATTCACAAGAAAAACTGGCTTTGAAATTTATAACCAAACAATAGAATAAAGAATATTTAATGTAATGGCATTCAGGAAATAAAGGAAGATATTTCAACAGATTTATAGCATACAACTCTGAAACATATAAAGAATAAAGAGAAATGTTTGAAAAAGATATCCAAAGGAGTTATGCATTTAGTTTCATGTTTTAGGGATCTACTGTTAATAAATATCATTGACTCCTGTTCTGCTGAGGGAGACACAGATCAATAAAGTGGCTCTTTCTCTGCTGAGTTACAAAGAGAAAGTAGAACTCCGTATCACTTCATCTAAAATTAACTTCACAAAGCAACTAAGGTAGATCTTTCAACATACTTTCCAAAACAACAACAAACCTTTACAAACAGAGACTCATAACTTCTGCATGAAGATGAAAAATCCACACATGCTTACTGGAGCTTTGGATCTTTCTGATGGCTAAAGAAGAGAAGCCATTTTCAAGGATAGTCTTTGCCTCTTGGTGATATCTCAGTGATTTGGAATCAAAGGAATGATTAGTTAAGTTAAAGATTAGAGTAGAAGGGTTCTGTCTGACACATAGCTATATAACAAGCAAGGATATTCATAAAGTCAGTCTTAAGTTGCAAATTTAATTCACTTTGCTAATTTTTCCTTTCAACCTGCTTCTGAAGTTAATAGAGCCACTCATCAACCATGTCTCAAAAGATTTTCAACAAAAATCATCAAAGAAGATTGTGTAATCACTTTAATAAATAAAAGAAGAACCATTCCTTAAATCTTACAACTGGCTTTTTAATAAAAAAGACTAAAGGCCCGATGCATGAAATTCATGGGAGAGCAGGCCTTCCTTCCCCTGGCTGCCAGCACCCAGGAACCTGGCTTCCTCCAGAAGGTCGTCCGAAAAAGGTGTCTGGTCTAATTAGCATATTATGCTTTTATTATTATAGCTATTTGAATAATACATTAATTGTCATTTTATGTGTTAGTGAAAGAAAACAAAGATAAATTCTTTTTAAAACCAACTATGGATTAACTTACTGATGTGTTATTGGAGAATATCATTTTATTTACTTGTTATTCTCCACTTTTATACATAATATATAAAATCTTATCCCCAAAGTTACCAAAAGCATTTATCCAAATGTGCAATGCATACTTATTTATTATATGCATCCAGTCATTCATTTATTTAGCAAATGATTGTTAAATAAATAAATCCATCCAGTCATTCATTTATTTAGCAAACATTTGATGTTCATACAGATCCAAATACTATGTTACATATCAGGAACAAAAAGGTGGTGGTAGGGGGGAACGGGTGTCTACCATGTGATGGTATTAATCTAATAGGAGAGAATCATAAAAGTAAATAACTATAGCCGAAATTGGTTTGGCTCAGTGGTAGAGCATTGGTCTGCGGACTGAAGGGTCCCAGGTTTGATTCCTGTCAAGGGCATGTACCTTGATTGCGGGCACATTCCCAGTAGAGGTGTGCAGGAGGCAGCTGATCGATGACTCTCTCTCATTGATGTTTCTAACTCTCTATCTCTCTCCCTTCCTCTCTGTAAAAAAATCAATAAAATATATATTTTTAAAAAGTAAATAACTATAAAATTACTACAGAAGTACAAAACAGAGCAATTTTTAAAAAGTATTTACATATAAATTCTCAAATGTTTGTGTCACACACATCAGTGCTTTATTTATTTACTTAATATTCTGTTTTTAACTTTTTAAATTGAGAAAGAATGATATCTCAATTCAAAGTCACATCTTTGCCACTGCCCACTCTTTTATCATATGGATATTAAATTCAAGAACTCAAGGCAGTACATGTAGAAAAAGTCATTAACCACACTAACCATAATTAAAAATACACATTAATACAAAATGTTTAAATTGGAAAAATTGGAAAAATACTCTCTTATAATTTAACTTTTCATACAATTTTAATTGAATTCCCATCTATTATGCATATTAACACTTTCATGTTATATTAGAGGCCTGGCACACAAAATTGTGTGTAGGTATGGTCCCTAGGCCTACCTTAATTGTAGGGTAGGCCTAGGGACCATACCTACACACAGTTCCCTGCCTCCACCCCCATTCCTCGTTTGCCATCCA